GTTAGAGATACTTTTTGTTTGAGCAGGAGGTTGGGAAGAGATGCCCAGGTGTCCATTCCAACTTGCATTTTACCCTCTTTCAGTTCTCCATGGTGGTACTATGAATGAAGGATGTGTGCCTGTGTGATCATAGGCTTTTGGAATCTGTGTTGAGCAATTGCTCAGGAGAAGCAAAATAAAAACAAACCTACTTGGGAGCAGGTGGTTTTTTTAATAGAGATTGTGACTGAGAAAGTTCCTTGGAAAGTAGTCAGGGACCTTCATGTAAACGCACCTATATTTTTTGTATGGCAAAAAGCATTTATTGTTTGTTAAACACTTGGGACCAGTTCCACTGCTGTGATCCAGCTAATATACACTGTTCTGGCAACAATAAATATCTGTAAAATCAGCTTAATTGGCTGATTAATCTGCTTTTATAGCTGCTTCTATAGCTGCTTTTGCTGGGGTGATGAGGAGCAGCCAGAAGAGAGAAGGTGCTGAAGTCCTTCTGTTTAAACTGATGATCCATGTCCTTTGTAGGCAAAATAAAAAGGCAAGGTTTGCCATGCTAAGGTGCTGCTCAGCATTTCAGTAGAAAAGCAGAGTTCCCTGCGATTGTGCAGTTCTCTGGATACTGTATACCCCTTATCAGCACTGAAGCCTTGCATTTCTCACAGGGATTTCAAGAGAAGCTCTGCAAACAGCTTTAAGAGTTACTATGATTCCTTCCAAGTGGTGACTTAATAGAAAGATGTGTGCTAGGAGTGTCTAAGAAGATGCAACCTTGTGGAGCAGATCAAGACCGATGAGCAGTTTGCTTATGGAAGGTGTCACTGAGCAGAAATACTGGGGGGAAAAATACCTATTTTTGGCATATATAGGGACATGCAGACATGAAGGCATACTTAAAGTAACATGTTTAAGTGCTGTAATGAATAAACATGAGCTCCTGGTGCTGGAATGAGGATCTTGCTATTGATCTGACAGGGGGTACTTTGGTGCATTGTCTTTCATTGTCTGTGCAGATCTCCAGCAGGTCTCTGCCCCAGTCCCTTGTTCTCTTGACATTGCTGTGATTGCAATGACTGGCATAGCCAGTGAGTGAGAGGGTGTGAATGCAACGTGTCTGTAACCTCTGTACTTGGTGGAATGAATGGCTTTGCTAGAAAAGACAGGAAAACCTGCTGTGAGTGCAAAATGTAAAAGGTAAGAGACAAAAATTATTGCAAGTATGAAAGATCTCAGTCCTGGCTGGTGCTGCCAGCCCCTTTCTTCCTGCTGTCAGCTTTGCCTGGAGCCTGCATGGTAGCATGGTGCAGGTCATATGCAATGGAGAATGCCATGAAAATTGAAGATGGTGTTCAGAAAGCCAGATTGATTGCTTTAGTAATTCTTGCATCAGTGTCACTTTTTAAAAGAACACTGCCAATTTGCTAGCAAATGTAAAAATAAATGACTTGCATAAGATACCTTGTTACAATGCTGAATGCTCAAGGAATAATATAATGGGAGTTTGGGAAGTCAGGATTTGAAGCATGTGCAGAATAGAACTTTTAAATATCAGTTTGTGATGGTTTAGGAGAAAGGAACCTGCTTTTAATGTGGATTGCTGTCTGAAAGAAACGTCAAAAATAGTGAAACGGTTCTATACTTCATTTTACCCTGACCTTTAGCACTTGCAAAAAAAAAAATTGTACTGGTGTGCCTGAACTAGGGAAAGGGGATTTAAAAAAGGAAAAGATTAAACAGGAAAGCTACAAGACATCCCCAGTTTCTGGCAGGAGTCCTTGTATTATAATATGTTTTCATTTTCAGTGTCTTGCACCAGTCTTTCTGAAGGGCCTGGGAAAAGGCAGTGTTGAGTATTGACATCCCACCAGAAAACTTGTTGTTACTGCAGTCTGGTTTTATAGAAAAATTTACAAAACTATAAAGTTATGCTCTTTATTCTGATGTCATTTAATAGATGTGTTTGCAACAGACATATGTGGACGGCCATACACATCCTGTGCTTCATAGTAACTGTGATGGGGTTTGTGTGTGTTTGCTTATTTTTTGAAGAGAAGGACATGCCAAACAGACCTCTGAGAGCGCGTGCCCGGTCTCCAGATGGCAAGTTACCTTTTTGGTGGAAGCCACCCTTTGGAGCAGGCTTCAGAGGTCCACGCGGCAGATCCCAAGGTTCCCCCCGTGGGTATGGAGAGAGCAGCCGAAGGATGAGCTATACTCCAATGCCGCAAGAACAACAAAACCAGGAAGCGAGGAAACTAGGTGAGTCAGATTTCTCTGATCGCACCCAGCTGAGCTAGCACACTTCTGTGATCCCCTGTGGCTGCTAGGTGGTCTAGGTCATATTTGTCCTAGACAACAAAAAGCCTTCAGAAGCCTAGGAAATAAGTGAAAATGCTGGCTATAATTTTCTTCTGTAAACTGTTCTTAATAGAGGTAGGGTATTACCTAGAGAACAGCGTACAAACTGTAGGAGAACTTGATGCTGTGTTAAAGAGACACCATGTGCGAGTTATTCATGTTAACAGCAGAGGGAAGGGTTGCAGAGAAGAGCCATAGCTCAGATTGTCCTTGCATGCTGTGGGACTGTTGCTTCTTTTCAATGAAAAAAGTTACAAGAAAGCCTCTGATTTTTCTCTGCATGTGCAGCTTCCGAGTCAGTTCATGTGGTTTCACTGCCATCAAGGAGTTCCCAAGGACGAAGCCAACCTGTCTATAGGTCATCTTTAACTAAAAGAAAAGTCACAGGTATGTTTCTTTCACATCTGCTGTCAATGAATGCAGACAACTGGATGCAAAGAGATAGCTTTGTGAATTTTAGACTGCGAGTCTTTTGGTGCTGGATCTACTAGGTTTTTTCTCTGTATGTTAAAGAGCTTAATGGATGTCTCAAATTGCTTTGATAATTCAAGCAAGATGAATAAAATAATACAATTCTGCAACATGATTGGTTAAACTTCTCAATTGGGTTTTTGGTTTTGTTTTGGTTTGTTTGCTTTTTGCTGTATTTTTTTTCTTTAATCTCCTCCTCTCTATCTATTGACAAATGTTATACATTGCAATAACTGCATGATAATACTTGATTAAATCAAAGCCAGGACCTGTGTAATGGTATGCCTTCTTCTCAGATCTTCAACCCTTTTTCTGAAGGGTTGGTTTCCAGAGGCCTTCACCTGGTCAGCAAAAGTTTTTGCTTTCTTGGAAAGAAGGCATTACATATTGCTGCCAAGTTCAAAAAGGATGAGCGACATTCTGAGTCTTCTCCATGCCAGAGGCACTTTCTCACTCCATTGAACTGTGATGAGAATGCCATGTGGATGGCAAAGTGTTTAGAATATTTTGATGGTGATGAAGATGAAGAACATCTTTGTCAGAACTGAGAACTGAAATCCCATCTCACACCTTTTCTGTGAAGGGGATGCTGTCTACTTCTCATGCTCACTTTCTTACTTCAGGTGTTCCCATTGCAAAACTGGAACCTGTGAGTAGTAGATGAGTAGTAGATGAGTCCTCTTGCCCAGTTTTGTGTAGCAGCTGTGTGGCTTGGAAAACCTGGAACTGTCTGAGAACCCTCTGCGTGAAAACCTTATTGGAAGAGGTGAATGTGCTTCTCCATTGCCTGCAATCTGTGTAGGCAGTGGTAGGTTGTGGGGTGATGTGCCACCCACTGAAGAGAAAGACAATCTTTCCCTGAATTTCAGTCATGCATGAGTAAAATCCCTAGAGAATGAAATTATACTCCAAAGTTTATTGGCTCCTTTCCTAGGATAAAATTTCCACTCTCCAGGCAACTTTAGCAGTGAGTTTGCCAGAGATGATGATTATCAGTATGCTAGTAAAACATTTACTGCAAGTACCAGTTTGGGGAGCGATAGAATATTGACAGACTGTAGAATGTATTAGTCCTCTGGTCTTGTATGCAGACAACAAAAGAAATTATATTTCCATGGGATACCGTCAGTAATCAATGTACTTCGTTTTCCACTCCCCTTTGTATTTGTAACTCAACTGTGCTGTGTGAGTATATATGACAAGGGCACTCTCTGCTGGGTTGAGAACTGGCTGGATGGCCCAGAGAGGGTTGTGAACGGTGCCACATCCAGTTAGTGCCAGTCACTAGTGGTGTTCCCCAGGGGTCAGTGCTGGGCCCAGTTCTCTTTAATATCTTTATTGATGATTTGGATGAGGGGAATGAGTGCACCAGCAGCAAGTTTGCAGATGACCCAAAGTTGTGGGGGAGTGTCAATCTGCTGGAAGGCAGGAGGGCTCTGCAGAGGGACCTGGATATGCTGGAGAGATGGGCTGATTCCAATGGGATGAGGTTTAACAAGGCCAAGTGCTGGTCCTGCACTTTGGCCATAACAATCCCATGCAGCACTCCAGGCTGGGGATAGAGTGGCTGGAGAGCAGCCAGGCAGAAAGGGACCTGAGAGTTTGGATAGACAGGAAGCTGAACATGAGCCAGCAGTGTGCTCAGGAATGCCAATGGCATCCTGGCCTGGATCAGGAACAGTGTGGTCAACAAGAACAGGGAGCTGATTCTGCCCCTGTACTTGGTGCTGTTGGGGCTGCACCTTGTGTACTGTGTGCAGTTCTGGGCCCCTCAGTTCAGGAAGGATATTGAGGTGCTGGAGCAGGTCCAGAGAAGAACAGCGAAGCTAGTGAAGGGACTCCTGCACAGGTGCTGTGAGGAGAGGCTAAGGGAGTCGGAATTGTTTAGCTTGGAGAAGAGGACGCTCAGGGGTGACCTTCTCACCCTCTGCAACTCCCTGACAGGAGGTTGGAGTCAGGTGGGGGTTGGTCT